ATTCTTAAATTCTTATCTTAACTACTACAAAACAATATGATGCCAATGAAGTTACATCAGTTTTCTAAATGATCTGGCTAACTATATGCAACTTGTCCATAAAATCGTTCACACTTCTACAGACATAGTATTCTATGATTCAGTTTTTTTCCTGCTTTCCCATATTCATCCTCCCTCTTTGCTCCCAGGTGCTCACATTTTGTCTTGATCACCAAAACCTTCTTATTTCAATTACAAAAAAAATGCTCATTTGTATCTTTTGCAACATGACAGGATGCAAAAAGAATCCGTTCTAAACATCAACACAGTGAAACAAAGGCAGCTGTTGTAAAACCCACTTGTGTCCAAATAAGGGTGAAGGTATTTTTTTCCTAGTATCTTTCTTATCTGTTTTTCCAAAGGAAGATTTCACCCATTCATCTTCCTTAGTAAAAATACAGAGGTAAGTCCTCTTGCTTAATGATGGATATAAACTACTATTTCCTCTTAGATCTTCCCTTGAAGAATTTTTGTTGGTTTTTTTTCGATTTCAAGTAATCCACCTCCACTTTCCACAGAGTACCATTGCCCAACACTGCTCTAGGTTGTTTTATGGAGATTTTAGAAAAGCTAGACCATGTACATATTTGTATGAAAGATGCAGAGATTGACAACAGTTGAGCTCTTAAAATGAAACTTCCATTTCTATGACGAACAACAAGCAGAGCCACAGAGCCTCTGCAGTGGCAGCCCACAAACCAAGCATCCCCTTCTCTGTTCACTGACCATGATAGCAATGACAGGATTACTTTTTCCAGATTTTTCTACTTATTTAACTGTTCTTCTTTTGCCCAACCATGACATGACTTCCTCCACACTGAGTATTTCTAGAAATGTAACAAGGATCTTCCAACCCCTAGGATTCTATGATTCTATGATTCTATGATCTTGAAGGATTATACCAGGAGAGCATCCCAAGGTACCATACAGAATGACAGGAAATCTTAAGGATTCAGATAATGCTTCTTCTAATTCTAACTGAAGCAAGTCATAAAAGGTCGATCCAATTATTGTTCCTACACTTTTTTATCAACTGAGATGAAAAAAGTTTTCAAAATTCAAGACTGGAGTTACCCTTTTTCAGTATCCAGACTCAGCAGAGATGATCTGGAGAGCAACATAAAAGCTCTGCATTGCCTCTGTGCCCACTTCCTGACCTGGACTGTGGAAAAACAACCAAATGCAGCACAGTGGTATAAACATTTCACTGTTTGGCAGTAGTATCAGTAAACCTACACAATTTTAATATGTAAATCTATAAAGTTTGCACAAGGGGGTAAATTATTTTTAATATCAGGCAGAATTAAAAAGTGGAAGTGACAGAAATCTTCAGCCAGGTAATAGGTATCAAATAAGTAACTTCTCACACTTAAGCTACAGGCCAACCAACAGAGCTTGAGCTCAAGATAATGAAAATGCAGTGAAGCTAAAGAGAGCATTTGAGTAACATCTAAGATGGTCAGACAGGCAAAGCACTATAGTCCAAGCTACTATGACCTAGTAGACACATTTATATTCCTTACAGAGAAGTCTCTGAAACTGAATAAAGCTTTTAATTGTTACAGTTTTTAAAGCTAAGGGAAGGTATTTGTTTCCTTACAGACAAGATTACACTGAGTTTCTCATTATGAAAGAAACTATTGCCATGAAAAAAAAATAATTTGAAAATAAGTAATTGATACCAGTGAGATCAGTTTTCATTAACTTATTTTTTATATTGAGTTAAGAAATGCAAACATCATGTAAGTGGAATTAGAGGCATACAGATGGAACGATGGCTTTGTCCTGCTTCAGACTTAAATTTAGTAGGGATATTTGTACGCATATAGACACATACACACCCAATTGGAGAGGTTTCTTCTGAAGAAATAACAAATCTGTGCACAGGACTGGAAATATATAAAGCCAGTCCTCCATGATTAGAGTCTATCTGTTCAAAAGAAAAATGAGCTCTTAGAAATTTCCAGTTTTTAATTTAAGCTGGTTCTTTTTGCTGAGCAATAACTGAGATGTTTTCATCAATCCACTGCTAAAATTAACACTGTAGGCATAACTATATTAAGTTTGGAAATCATATTATTTTACTGAACTACAGATTTCCATTAGGAATGTACATGCAACATGCTCAGAACTTCCTGCTCAGAGACCGTGTTGTGCCTGGGGGAGGAGGAGAAGTGAAGAGGAAAGAGCATAAACAAGACAATAAAAGGAGCTCAGGAGGCTGCTGAAATGTCGTCTTCACTTCAGGATGGGGCATAATACTCACATGTCCTTAATACATTCACATTTTGTGGGTAACATTCTGAGAAAGGTGGTGGTGGAGATGCAAATTACATCTCACTTTGAGGCAGATCAGCCCTCTGGAGAATATAAGGCCAGCCCTCACTGTGCTGTGTGCAAGTAGAAAGCAGCTTTAATGCAACATTTCCATTCAGCTCTGAGGGGAAGTGCTGAATGAGTGCTCTTGCCAAACTCTCATGAAAAGATACCTTCCAGGACAATCTAATGCTTGTCCTCCATTAGAAGATCTCTTGATATAATTTAAGAAGTGGCAATTATCATTATCCAAATATTATTTCCCCTTTCCTCCTCCCAAATTTGGACTGAAGGGTCCTCAAAGCCTGAGTCCACCCATTGGTATAATGCCCAATTTTTGAAATTTAAGTTTAAAAAGGAAAAGTAGAGATATGTTAACAAGAAAAAAAGGCTTCTTTTGTTGTTGTTGTTTTTTTAGAACTACAGAACAATAAAAACACACTGAACTGAACATTCACAATGTATACTCTGAGAGAAAAATATAGTAAAAGCATTTCCTCTTGATTATATACAAGAAAAGTAAAGAAAATTTACAAATAAGTAAAAGGAAAAAAGAGAAAAAGGAGAAGGATAGAGCCCTTTTACTTATAAGGCACTCTCCCTGGATGAGAGGGTACATGTCCACTTCCCATCTCAGCACAAGAACCGAGCACAGAAGTGTATGTTAAGTAACCCAATCACAAATACTCTGGAATGTTTTGCTCTCCGTCTTGTTAATATCACACATACTTAAAATAAATTATTAAACTGCAGTGGCACTGGGGCTAGAACCAAGGTTTTCTACTTCTGTAAAGACTTAACTATTCTGCCCTACAGTGTAAATTTCTAACTATATGTTTTATGAAGCCATCTTACATATATTAGCATATTTTTTTTCCAGCCAACACTATTCAGCAATTGTATCCTGAATTCACAGATAGTTTTGCAAGTACTAAAGCTATCTCAACTTAACTAATTTACTGCTCTCTGAATCAAACTGGTGGCATTATTTGCAACTGTCTCCTCAGTGTTCCCAGAACTCACTGCCAGAAAGAGGAAAGAGATGAAGGAAGCAGAACCCAACACCTGTTCTTCTCTGCTACTTTAACATCACAGTTGTACTTAAGGTGATCAGTTTGGAGCCATTCTAATTCTAATTTTGTAATGAAAAATAGAGAAACACCTCCCCCCTCAACAATAACTGCTACCAAATCCTTCTGTGACAGTAATAATACAAGTAAAAGAAAAAAAAAGTAACCTATTAATATGCTTTTTGAGTTCTGTCTACAGATTTAACACTGGTTTTGTTTCAACAGCTCTCTGGTGCCTTGGAGAGTATTAAGGTATTCTCATTTAAATCACTCAAAAACTGCCTGATGTTGGCTGGACCAAGGAACTGAGCCACTAGTTTTGTGCAGTGACAGGAAGTGATGTTTGTACAAGTCTTTTCTAGTTCTCCTGGGGGTAAGAACATCAACTTTGTAGCTTTTTTTTATTATTATTATTGTTACTGAAAAATCAGAGAGCAAATGGGATAATTTAAACCCTGCACAGTCTGAAGGACCACTACTTCTAAACTAAGCCATACTTAACATTACACTGCTTCAACATCCCTTGTGATTTGTGAATCTTAAGGCAAATGTACCACAATAATGCAAATAATAGCAAAAAATGTAACAGCAAAAAGAAACTGCAATATCCACTCTCAGATCCTAAACTATCAATGTTTTAGGGATAGCAGGAGAAATACTTTATTCAGTTATGTAAAGATTTCAAAGAAGTCAAGGAACTATGTATAAAAGGAAAATGCTATTTTAAAACATGTTCTTTTCCACAAAAAAATAAAAGTTAATCTACCATGACAGAGGCATATTTTGGAATAATTGAGAAATTACTAAGATTTTACTTTGTGATAATCATTAAGAGAAATAAAGCATAATAATCTTTGCAATAAAAATGTTAGACATTCACTGTATCTGTGGAGCAACTAATTAATCAAAGCCTGGAATGAGCTACCAGTCTGATTTCAAAAAATTGAAAGAAAACATGCAATTCTCATCAAATTAAAAATAATTAAATCTTAACATGCACTGTTAATAGGTGAATAATCACATAAGAAAAAATAAAATAACTCTCGAGATGAGCTTTGAAAACTTGCTAGTAACTTAACTAATAGCATTTTGCTAAATATCACAATAATTTTTCTGTTTCAGGCAAACAGGTATTTTCAGAAAAACTCACTTTTTCAGTTTGCATTTACAAATGCATACACATCTTGAAAGAGAATATGTGCACAAATAAACACACTGACTCATGGATACATGCACCATTTCTGCTATTTATGTAAATGATATGTACTGTATGCTCTGTTTCTTTTAATTCCAGTGTGCAGATTCTACACTACGCCCTCAAAATCTGCAACCATTAAAAAGAAAATATTTAGCTTTATCCAGCTGGGCACTATAATATACTAGACATGCTCATCCATCTCATGTAAATATAGAAAAAGACATGCTTGAGCACTCATTTAAAGAACTACAGCTTTTATCTTTTAATTATTCTTGCTAGCAAGAAACATATAAGGGATTGCAGTGCCCTTCTGCTTGGCAAATGAGTCCAGTGCATTTATAAATATGGATGTGGCAGACCCCCAAACAACACAGTACCTGCTGTCTATCCAACCGCATCCTTTTTGCAGCATTTCTGCTTTCACTCTCACAGGCGGAAGCCAGGATACTCTCTGCAACTGCTGAAGTAAGGTGTGAGGGAATAGGTCGTGACTATGAGAGAAAAAAGAGACAGAGGAATTATTTCTCGCATGGTGCGCGAGGTCCCTTCTCGACGCGCACGGCACCATCCCCTCGGCAGGAGAGTCCGCTCATTGAAATGCAGTTTGTACCAACAAAACAGGGAAATGGAACTTGTAAAGATGAAAAATGAAACTAGTTAGATGTCAAAGCTGCAGCTGATCCAGAGATCCGCGAGAAGCCCTTTTCCTCCCACAGTTCTATTGTCCAGTGTATTTAGTCTGGCTCATTAAGCTGTACTTTGAACAGACAGTGGCATATTCTCTGCGTTTCAGCAGCACCCTGCCCGTCTGGTCCTTGTTAAGAAAACTGAAAGGCTTTTTATCCTGTACAGCATGTGACAGAGATGAGTAGTAGTCATATATAAAAAAAAAAAAAAAGGCAAAACAAAAAAATAAACCAAACAAAAAAACCCCAACCCTCAAGTGATAGGGTTGAAACATCACTCAAAACATAACAGATTGTCAGAATATTTCAGAGCAGTCTCAATCTGTAGTATATGAATATTTGCATTCCTTGCTGCAACATGACTGATGTGACTAAAATCACTTTTAAAAAAATGATCTGTTTTTCTTTTGATAATGCCAGCCTTCCAACAATGTAGATCTTTTGTGGTTCAACTAGATACGGTTCATTTTCCTGAATCAAAACCTCTCATTACTGATTTCAGAGTATTTACACAGTTTAGGTTAGAGGTGTGACGGGCTGCTAAAAGCAAGGGAATGCTACAATTTTTATAGCTCCATTGTTGGTCCTGAACACCAGTATGATCTTCCCTACCATTTTATTAAGACAAAAATTTACACACCTTTTTTTAGAATTACAGGTAAAACAATCTTTCTGAAAGATGAAGCTCACAGTAAAACTAGTTTTCTTCATGAATATACAAAGTTATAGCTGAACTACCAAGAAAAAAAAGAAAATGGGGATAATAACATACTGATAAACATACGAGCCCATTTCAGAGACTGCAACTTATCGATCCAAGTTCTTAACTTCCATAAATTTTCAAAGATTTATTGTACTCAAAAGATCCTCCTACGAGGAACTGGCCACGTGTGGGATTTTGGGAATGTTTTGTTGTTTGCCATTGGGGCTTTTGGGTTTTTCTGGTTTAGGTAGTGTTTGGGTTTTTTTAAGAGTTGTTCCTTCTTGCTTCCAAAAGCATAAATATGAATGTGCTATGAAATGTCACGGAGTTTTGAAAGCAAGTTTTGAAGTATCCCCATTCAGTTCTTAGATCACCTTAGAACAGATTATGTTGTCTCAACTGATTTTGTAGTTTTCATAATATTCCAGAAACTGAGGAGCCAACCATTACTAATATTACATTTTTACCTTTAAAAATTAAAGTCCATTTATTGACTTCAGATGTGGTCTGCAGGTTGCCATTTTTTTATCTGACACTGCTTTCTCTAATGCCCGGGACCACAGTCTGCCTGGGGCCAGAAGCTGAACTAGCTTTTAGAAATAGACTGGGATTTATGGGTCTCACTCACTAGTGAAAAAGGCTTATTTATCCCCATTCATACATGGAGCAACTCTTTGGCATCAGTGTAAGAGCTGTGTGAAAAAGACAATCAGAAGCCACAACACTGCGATAGAGTGATTAGATGGAATAAACTCTTGAACTATTTCCAGTTTTGACAAAAAATCAGTCTAAGGGATGACTGACATTGCCAGAGTTAATTGTACAGTACAAGCAGACACCCTTCTCAGAGCTCCAGAGGGAGGAAGTCTTTGCAGGTTTTCACTGACAAAGTGTTATATTTATTATTCTGCCTCCCTACAATGGTGATGTTACTGTGAATTAGTCATTGTATCACTTAGCTACACTACATCCCTTCTTGTATTGGGTGGCTAAATATCACTTCACGTACCACTGTTTTATGTATGTTCAAGGTACATTTACTATGTCGACTGCAAGGAAGTCTCGGTGTGGTCCTGTAGCAGTGGCCACACAACGACATCCTTGAAAAATGGTGAGTGAACACCTGGTTAATTCCTCTAGCTCAGGTTTTTAATTAGACCTATAACTATATATATATCAAAGATTTTTAGAAGGTGGCATATGAGCCAAAAAACGAATGTTCTCACCTAAAAGTAAAATGAACCCAAGTTTCCCCAGCTTATTTGTTTATGGGAGAGAACAGAATCATAGAATCATAGAATCATAGAAGGTGTGGGGCTGGAAGTAACTTTTAAAGGTCATCTGACCTTGAATGTTTCCATGGATGGGGCTTCCACCACCTCTCTGGGTAACCTGTTCCAGTGCTTCACCACTCATTGTAAAGAACTTTTACCTAATGTCTAATCTAAATGTACCCTACTCTAGTTTAAGACCATTGCCCCTCAACCTATCACGATAGGTTTAATGAAGTGCTTTATAAATTTAAAAATAAAGAGTTTCCATAAAAATCAGTCTTGTGCTTTTCTCTGAAAAGGAGTGCAGCAGTTATGTGCTTACTGTTGAAATACTGAACTTCAAGTCTGTACCTGCAAAAACAAGGAAATTTCCAGGTAATGGAGGATTTTCCTCTTGAAACACGTGTTAACCCATAATTTCTCCTACTTGTCTCTGCAGCTGCCTGTTGACATGTTCATGTCGAGAACTATCAGAGTGAAGCTTAGGGAGAATGTAATGAATGCATAGTTGAAACACCTGGGGAGTAAAATACTGTGACAAAGCAGAGGAGGAAAATAATGTGATTAAGGTTCAGGTTCTATCAAATTAACTCAGGCAGAGCACTAGTCTGCATTGACTGAGAAGATGAACACAATCCTGTCACTAAAAGTAGAGCTGTTGAAAAGAGGATTTTCTCTTCCATGAAATGCCATATGTTTGAAATGTCAAAAAGATCAATTTTGAAAAACCTTGCCTAAGAGGAAAAATTGCTTCGAAATAACCTCTTCTAAAAAATGTTTTTAAATATACTGAATTAATAACCCCATCTTCTAAGTTCCAAGGCCCCTTCTGGCTCAGCTTAACTTCCTCATTTCTATTCTTCTGATTACTCATGATGTCTTTATAGCTCCTGGCTATAAAACCACTTCTGCAAGAAGCTCAAGCAACCCAATTCCTTGTGGAGTTCTGAAGGTTTCCCATCTCCCTATCCAAGGGTGAGACACAAAGGTCTTTGGAAAGATGGCAAAAGCAACATCGTTTAATTCTGTAGAAAGGAGCCTGCAGCCAAACCAGCCTCTTAAAGGTTCTCAGGCTCCTCTCTGCAGTGCTGAGGGCTGAGTGCTGGTTCCTGCACGCTTGGGGCTACAGCAGGAAACGTGGCATCCAGGTACTCTTTCCAAGGGCTTCCAGGCTCTTCCTGCAATCCCTGGATTCTACAACCTGTCCACTGGACAAACAGAAAACCAGATTTCATTTTACTAGAGTATGTCAAAATGGAAAACCTTTGACAAACTAACATTTGTTTAAAAAAAGGGGAAAAAAAAAAAAAAAAAAAAGAGGTATTATAAAAAAGCCAACCAGCTTTAACTGGCATCACAGTGATGTAAAGCAGAAAATAACATTGGAAAAATCCATGGGTAATGGGTAAAACTACAGAAAAGAAGCAAACTTTAATCTACCAAAACAAGTGATTCACAAGGCAAAATCAGAAGGCAGGACATTTTTTGTAATTTTGAATCAATGACAAGTAGAAAAGAGGCATGTGAAATTCTTATGTTAGCTTTCAGGTGAAGAGATGAACAAAACTGGAAGGAATCTGGTAAAGAGCTTAATACAGACTTCCCAAGAAGACTATATGCCTCTGCCCATCACACAGCAGCAGTATGCAGAATTCCTTCCTATTTACATGGAAAGCATAGAATCATAGAATCCTAGGGGTTGGAAGGGACCTCGAAAGATCATCTAGTCCAACCCTCCTGCCAGAGCAGGGTCACTTAGAGCACATCACACAGGAACGCATCCAGGTGGGTTTTGAATGTCTCCAGTGAAGGAGACTCCACAACCTCCCTGGGCAGCCTGTTCCAGTGCTCTGTCACTCTCACAGTAAAAAAATTTTTTTCGGATATTCACCTTGAACCTCCTATGCTCCAATTTGCACCCATTACCCCTTGTCCTATCACTGGTCATCACTGAGAAAAGCCTAACTCCATCTCCCTGACACTCACCCCTTACATATTTGTAAACATTGATGAGGTCACCCCTCAGACTAGTGGAGTCCCTCAGGGGTCGGTACTGGGACCGGTGTTGTTCAACATCTTCATCAACGACCTGGATGAGGGTATAGAATGTACCCTCAGCAAGTTTACTGATGACACTAAGCTGGGAGGAGTGGCTGACACACTGGAGGGCTGTGCTGCCATTCAGAGGGACCTAGACAGGCTGAAGGGTTGGGCAGGGAGAAACTTGATGAAGTTCAACAAGGGGAAGTGTAGAGTTTTGCATTTGGGGAAGAGAAACATCATGTACCAGTACAGGTTGGGGGCTGACCTGCTGGAGAGCAGTGTAGGTGAAAGGGACCTGGGGGTCCTGGTAGACAGGAGGATGACCATGAGCCAGCAATGTGCCCTTGTGGCTAGGAAGGCCAATGGCATCCTGGGGTGCATTAGAAAGGGTGTGGACTGCTTGTGACCGCACTAAAACAGCAGCCACGATTTGCACACAGTTTTTTGTTCTTCTACATCTCTTCAGCTGACACACAGATAATGTTCACCCTCAATGCAGGCAAACAACAACTTGCTCAAGGAGAACCTGCTAGATTTCATGTAAACGCAGATGCTTCTGTTTGTTTGTTTTTAAGTGACTGACAGTCCAGAAGTGGTTGAAAATCCCCCAGAGTTGACCAGCCACCTCCAGTCCCCTCATATCTGAAACTGCATTTGAAGGTAACTTAAACCTGATTCTCCAGACCACCAAAGATCCTGTAGATGGCAACAAAGCAACAAGCACACTTCACTACCATATTAGACAGGAACTTCTGAATGGTTTGCAGAGAAATTATTTCTGTTAG